TCAGTTAAGAGCCAGGGAACAGAATGGCCAGGACATTCTGCCTGGAACAGTGTTGGAACATGGTGTTTGAAGTGACCACAGGATCAATTTTCCAGAACAACTTTGAAGACAGAGGCTACCTGGTGGCTGAGAAAATACATGTTATATCTGTGTGTGAAGATTATGGAATAGATTTAAAAGGCTTTGCAGGCTACGGGCCAAATTTGAAAACCTTGTTTCAAAAACCTGATAGGTTCTTTCTTTTCTGTCTCATTCATTCATTTGTTTATCCTTAGCGAGAGTCTACTATGTGGCTGACACTGTACTGGGAGTTGGGAATACATCACAGGAGCTCCCTTCCCCTCAAACAGTGTAGAACTACTGGGAAATACAGGCACACAAACAGGCGCTTCAACAGAAATGTACCAGGGGTCATGGAAGCGAGCAGAAGGGGCACATATTTGGTCTGGACATGGGGAAGCCTTCACAAAAGAGGTGACATCTGGTTGGGCCTGCGTGTTCAAGACCTGCATGTTCAAAAGTGATCTCTTGGTGTGTCTGGGGTAAAGTGTGAAAGGTAAAGAATGGCAAGAGAGAAATGCTAAGTCAGATCATGTCACTCTCCTGTTCAAGTCCCCTCACTTCTCATCTCACTAAGAATAAAAGCAAGAGTCCAAACAATGACTTAGGAAGGCCCTATCAGGTCTGCCCCCGGGGACCTCCTGCTCCCTCAGCTCCCCCACACCCCACACCGGCCTTCTGCAGTTCTGCAGGGCCTCTGGCCTCTACTCTCTCCCTTCCCCCTTGATAGCAGGCTCTATCCCCAGATACCCACCTGGCTCAAGTCTCCCTTCCTTCAGGTCTTTCCTCAGATGGCACTTTCCCAGTGAGGTCCTCCCCGCCACTCTCTCCTGACTCCCTCTCTCTCCTTCCCTGTTTTCTTTTTCTCTCCAGCTGTTATCACTAGCCAACATTTGATATATTTTGCTTATTTATCTTTGTTTATTGTTTGTCTCCTTGAAGCAGAATGGAAGACTATGAGGGCAGGAGCATTTGCCTCTGTTGGTTCACTGATATACTGTTGGTGTCTGGCATACAGTAGGCACTCAATAAATATTTGTGGAATGATTACAGGAAAAGAGTTGCAAAGGACTATGCAAAACTAAGCCTTCTGGAGTTTATCTGGAAGGCAAAAGGAAGCCATGCGTGTGTTTGTTTGACTAGGAGAGTAAGATAACTAGGTCTGTGCTTTCTAGGATACTAACTCTGCTGGTGACAATGATAAAATGGTGGGTGGATGGGGAGAGACCTGGAGCAGAGAGGAAACAAAGGATTTGAGAGAGGTTTTGAAAGTGAAATGGCAGGTTAAAATGCATAACTCTGATTTTATGCATCAACCCACGAAAACTGCTTTTACTTACGTGTTTCTATTTCTCATTATACATCAGTATAAAATCAGTTCTAATCTTGATGCAAAGAATGGTTCTGAACCTGGGCTTGCAGAAAAGCAAGCTAGATTGCAATGCTGGAATGAATTCAGGTCAGGCTGCTAGCAGGGAGCTGATAACATGGAGCTATTCTTTGGAGCCGTGTGCGTGTTTGATACACGTCTTGAAAGCAACCTTACTTGTCTGGTAAGGTGACGTGACTCCTCTTCACTACCGTCCTGTTAATCTCAGCATCACGTTTCAGTACTTTTTTCCTCTGGCTTCAAGGTTCTCAAGCAGTTTGAGACTGTCCTCATCCCTTCCTTTTTATCCATTCCTTTCACAAAACTTGCCCATGTTTTATTGCCTCTTCATCCCTTTTGCCCTTTATTTGGTCACACCTCACACAATCCATTCTAAGTTCCTTCTCTGATGCTCACTTCTGGATCTTCTTGCATGCTGGGCAAAAACGCCTAGAAAGCTTTTATAAAATCCATTTGTAAGTCACCTCCTCCTCCCCCACTTCCATCCTCACCTACCAGCCCGAGTAGCTTTCCTATGTGTGGAGGCAACAGAAGGCCATTCTTAGGCACGGAGGAACTCAGAAAAATGTACCACCACCTACTGTTCTCAGAAAAAGAGAATGACTTGCATGTGTACTCCAGCCAATGGAGAAACTACTCCTTCAAAATGCAGAATGAAAGTCAAGACGGATGGGGCCTGGGAATCTGTCTAGGGCGTCTACCCACAGGCACAAAGACTCAACAGGGAAAATTGAGAAGTGACCTCTCAGCGCACGTGGACTGCCTGGGCCGCACCCCCAGACAGCCCGAGTATAGAGAGGGGACCTTTCCCACCTTTCCCAGTGATGTCTGACGAAGCTTAATGGAACTGTTTGTTCCCTAGGAATTGTTATCCTTCATTAGGGTAATAACCCTGTAATTGGAATCCCTCTGTAAAAGCTTCTCCCTCAAGAAGAGTTTTCTGTCAGATTCACAAGTCCAATTAAATATGATTATAGCTATGTTAAAAAACAAAGGCCACAAAGCACCCGTGGCCAGGAGCAGGCCTGGGAACAATCTTCCACGAGTGAGGGGCAGCTCACGTCAGCCCTGCCGACACGGCTCCCGGTCACCGCTGCTTACCGCCAGGCGGCACACGGGGCCCCACGTGACCGGCTCCTGCTCTCGACTGCCTTTCCAGCCACATCACCTCACGCGGCCTCTTTTCCTCACACTCATCCTGTGGCTCCTTGTACAGGCCCTGTCCTCTGAAGGCTTAGTGCCTTCACAGGTGCCAGACTTTGGGATGCTCTTCCCACCTCCTCGCCTTGAGGAAACCCTACTCACCTTCCGAGGCCTGGCTGACTTGCCTCGTCTACACAGCAGCCCTGCCCCACCCCCACAGAGTCAGAGGCAGTTATCAAAGCCCACTGCGTATCAGCAGTTGCTTGTAAATCTATAACTATGCATGACAAGCTGGACTTAGTCCTCACTTCAAAGTCCTGAGTCATCGTCACGGGGTGCTGCGGGAAAGGCCCCTCTTCGGACCTGTTGTATGTAGACACCTGAATCAGGTGCCGCTGACCCCATGATCAGAATTAAGATTTGGGGCCCATAGTGGGTAAAGTCAAGTAATCCGTCCCTTGAGGATGACTATCTCTAATAATAAAAAAGTAACAAATACAGCTGATTTCTTCCTGGATTTGATGCATATTTTATCTACCTGATTATAAGCTCCACAAGTGCAGGGACTAAATTCATTTATTTGCTTACTAGTCTCTCTCTAGCACCTAGAACAGTGCCTAACCTGAGGCAGGAACTAATCAATGTTTGCTGAGAGTACGAGTGTCTTAAAAACGCCTGGCACAGTTTATACTTGACTAAAGCTACACTAAATGAACGAATCCCAGTCTAAGTTGTAAAATGAGGCCATTTTCCTTCTGCTAAAACCAAACCTGACAAAAGACCCTCCTGCAGAAACGCACACCTGCCTTTCTTCTCTGAGGCCCTCACCTCCACCCCTTTGTCTCGGCTTCTGTGTGTGATCTGGAGAAACAAAAAACCTCTTTGTATTCTGGAAGGAAAGGCTTTTCAGAAACGCAAAACAACATTAACCTTTTCCCCCCAATTGCATTCAACACATGGGGTGACTATAAACCAGGGGGATCAGGAAGAAATTAGTTCAAAATCCAGATGAGAAAAAAAGAGGTGCCTTCCTGTCTTCAAAATACCTAGACCTGCACATTTCCCCCTTGGGGAGCAATTCAGAAACCCCCATGTCGTGCTCCAGCCCCTCCAGGGTGGCCCTTCCTTCTGGGCTGCCGCCTGGCTATTCCTGGGCGTCTGCCGCCTGTGTGTGCGGGGGAGGGTGGGGGTGTGGGGGTGTGGAGCAGCAGTCTCCCCGTGTCAGTAAAGCTGCCTTACACCCGCGCCCCTACACACCCATGCTGGTACTTCCGAGACCCGGAATTTGTCAATTCTGCCTCCATGTCACCCTGGCTCTTCTAGGAGTGTCGAGGCTACACCAATCCAGAAAGAGATCCTCTTTATGTGCACTTCTCTGTGTTCTATGAAGATGACCAGAAACAATCATGCAAAACGAACAAAGGGATTACAAATTAATCTGCCCTCGCTGGCTCCTCTGACTGCAAAGATACAATTACAAACCCAGGATTTGCAAGAGACCTAAATTCCTCATTAATCTCCACTATCGTTCCTATCACTGTTTTTTTCCCCCGTCCCTAAGCTTTTTTCTTAGGCAGGACATGAGAAGGAGCTATGTTCTCTCTCCACTCAGCAGTAACTGAAAAATATGTCCTTAACATTTCAAAAAGCAGATCGCCCCTGTGCCATAACCGCTAAAGCGTGGAGGTGAAATGGGATGAGTGTCCTTTACGTCACCATCTGTCTAAATTAATGAATTTAAACACGCATAACCTAAACCTGCGGTTTCTTTGGAAAGCATGAATTTGATACTCCAGAAAAATTTCAGGGTCTAAGAATCTCCAATTTCTTTACATTATACATGCTTTGATATAGCATATCTGGACTGTTCAGCAACAGGCAGCGAATGGTCTCTAAATTGCATTTTGCATGTGCGTCTGCTCTGTTTGGCCATCTGGAGCTGGGGCCTGCAGAGAGAGCAGGTTCTGGCATCTTCCTGCCAGGCTCACTCCATGGGTCAGTGCTATAGTGTAATCAAAAAGCAGTGGGGGCTTCTCTCCTTCTCTTTCCCAGACATGCCTGCAAACTCCATTTGGGCAGAGGCTCTGCCAGTGACATTTCTGCTCTGGGAACCACAGACACATACTCCTACTGAGAGAAGAGAGATTCCATGAGCTGGAGATGGGGGGTAGGGGTAGGGGGACCGAATCATTCAGACCACCTGTTATTATATTAAACCCAGCACACAGTTCACAGTGGCTGCTTGTCTACATGCCATGGTGGATCCCAGTTCTGTTTTTCTCTGACTAAATACCTGCCCATGTTCTTCGAACTCAGGCTAAACAGAAAGCAAACTGGGTGAGGTTTCCCCAAATGGTGTCAGAAAGCCTCTAATCAGAGGCGCATTTCTGCAAGGTCCTGCTCTTACCTGGGTATGGCACTCTTCCTTTGGTGACCAGCTCTGTGAGTAAAATTCCAAAAGACCACACATCAGACTTGATTGTGAACCTGCCATACAGGGCTGCTTCAGGGGCCGTCCACTTAATGGGGAATTTTGCACCTGCAGAATAAACAACTGGTTATTCATGAGGCAGAGGGCACGGGATGGTATGGTGGTATGGTGTGGGGGAGGGAAAGCACTTGGAAGCCACTTTCACAGGAGCAGGTTTAGAGAGAACAGGGAGGGGGTGAAACAGGAATGCACTGGGCTTGAGATGTGCGCCAGGAAGTTCTGTTGAAATGGGCTATGTGTCCCCAAGGTCTCCCACACTCACAGCAGAGAAAGGATTTTCCCCTGGCAAGTCCCCTCCCTATACTTGCTTTCTCTCCTCTGCCCTTTTCCTCCATAGCAGCCATCTTGACCCCTGGGATAGTTTTTTCTTCTCCACTATATGATTACTTTTTTTTTTTTTTAATCTCTTCACCTTTCTTCTACTAGCCAGAAAGGGTATTATTTAATGTTTGCTTTTTTCTTTTTGAGACACAGTCTCGCTCTGTTGCCCCGGGTATAGTGCAGTGGCATCATTATAGCTCACTGCAACCTCCAACTCCTGGGCTCGAGCAATCCTCCTGCCTCAGCCTCCCGAGTAGCTGGGACTACAGGCATGCAACACCACGCCTGGCTAATTTTTCTATTTTTAGTAGAGACAGGGTCTCACTCTTGCTCAGGTTGGTCTTGAACTCCTGAGCTCAAGCAGTTCTCCCCTCTAAGCCTCCCAGAGTGCTAGGATTACAGGTGTGAACCTCCGCGTCTGGCCTAATGTTTATTTTTTAAAGAGCAATGTTGCCTCTATGACTGTCTTGGGAGTCTCTGACTTTTGAAGACCAGGGAGCAAATTCATGCCAAAGTCAGTAGAGTTTTTCCTTTCAAATTTCTCTCATCATTAAAAGAATCCTCTCTCTGAACCAAAAGGAAGGGTGGGGTCCACCCTGTTCTTTACTATGTTTGATGTGTGTGTAGGGTATTAAAAGGGATTGGGCAGCCTGTCTGTGTTCATAAATGTTAGGCTCAGCAATTACAGAGCAGTTCCAGATATTTCATTGAACAAACTAAAAGAAAAACACAAGGAATTTTTATTACTGATATAAACACAATTATAGTTAATTCTGCTTAGGAGCTCCTAAAAAAATCATACAAAGTCTAACAAAATCAGAAATTTTCATAGTATCTTCTATAAAAAGACACTATGTGCAAAAGTGACAAATAATTAAAATCTTTAAATTAGTGTGGTTTTAATAACCAGAAGTATGATAAATTACAGCAATTATTTGGTTTTAAATACAGTATATGATAACATCTTTAGTAAATCTACCCTGGCATTTTATGGCAACATAATTTTCCTCTCCATCTCCTTCTATGCTCATGTGAAATGAAATTATAAAAAGAAAATCTTACTATTATGTGGCATCTCACATTAACACTGGAGCAGAAAAGTTATTCTACAGTCTTTTTCCCTTTAATGCATTGAGTTATTTTTAATTAGCTATGTTCCTCAAGCATAATTATTTGTATCTTTCCTTATATGCTGGATAATTCCACACAAGACCTGGTATTCTCTGAATAGTCATTTTGTTTCTAAAGTTTCTTTCAAAGCATTCTTTTTACACTTCCTTTCCTTGAGCATTCTGTTCACGCAGCTTTGGCCTCTGAGCCGCTGGGATTAATGTGATAGATTTTCTTCAGTGTCGAGAGCAGACTTTGCCCTGGACCAAGCCTCAGCTGGAGTTCTCTTACTTCAGAGAATTAAAGGTATATTAAATTCATTCCTATTTAAACCATCTCTCGAGCCAAATGGCTTAGAAATTTCTGCCCATCTCTGAAGCAAATGGAACATTTTTCTCTGCTGTGCAGACAAATCCCGTAACTAAAACGACAAGCAAAAAGGAGCCTTTCTTCTTGGAATCACTCAACGTTGGGTGAAGGTGCATGTATTGCTGAAAGCAAACGAGTTAAAATTTGGATACAATCATTTTGGATTTTCTGAGAGATTTCATACTTTCAGATTTAAAAAAGGTCAATTTGTCAGCCACTTGCACTAGTCTGCTTTATTATTTTCTCATTTTATAATTTATATTAAGGATTATAACATGTAAACCTTCAAAAAAAAAGATAAAACAAAGGCTGTGTAGTATAACGGGTCTTCGATAGGAATTAATTTGTAGATATGTGCTATGGTTTAGTAGTAGGAGCTAATTTAAATAAATTTATTTTGTATTAGTTTTCTGAGATAAGCAATATATTATATTCATACCAAGCAATATATTTATAATATATTTGTAGGGACAAAGAATAAATATCTTCATCCAACTGCTACTTCTTTTCTGTCTTCAAATAGTAGGCACTTTTGACAAAATAAACTTCTCTAAAGATAACTCATATTTTCCTTTTCAAGGAGGACAAAAGGTTAAATTTAAGCAGCAATAAGTATTAACCCTTTGCACTTGGATGTCGAGTGTGACTCGACACGGTTAGCAAAAATTATAGAGATTAAAATTACTCTTTGAATGTATCAATAATTTGAAATATAAAAAAATTCAAATAAGTTTATATGAAAAGAAACTCTAGTTTTTTATTCTACTGCCACACTTTGTAAAATCTGGGGTATTTAAAAAATTAAATCCCAAGTAGAATAAAGGAATCGAGACTAAAGCAAGCGAGTGCAAAGGATTAATGATTAACTGAGGTTTCTACTGAAAAGAACTGATTGATGCTTACTCTTACTCTACTCATTTCATTACCTGTATTTCCCCTTATCTTGGTTCCCACCTCTTGAGGGTACTAAGCTATTGGCCCTAAAATGCAGCTCTAAAAGGCCTCGAGTTAACTGGGGATTTTTGGCAGGGGTCTTTGCAAATGGCCATCCAGATTGCACAATGCAAAACTCCTGTCTGTGTGAACAGTATCCCTAAGGTTGTTGAGTACAAGACCTGTCTAATCCCACAGGTGGCCTTGCTAGGAGCTGCTGCAATGGGCTCTTTGCTTGGATGAAGTTAGGAGAGCTCAGACACTGGTAAGGATAGATCTCCTGGGTGTAACTATGGTCTTTCCTTTGAAAATGAAGTTCTGTCTCTCAGATATTTTCCCAGATGGCAGGCATAAAGTCAGGATCAAAGTCGTCTTCTAAACAGTATGGATTTGTAGAAAAATGGAGAAAATGTCAGGAGAACTATATTATAATTAACTTGCTATTGTTATGTAACTACCTGATTTGCTCTATGAAATTCTGTCTGGGAGCAGGATTCAAATACCAACACAGTTTTCTCTCCTTTGCATTTTATTGGATGAAATACAGCAAACCATGTAGGTAACAATCATCCGTGTCACTGACCTTGAGCTTTGGAGCACACTGTAACGCTCAGTGTACTTGTTCCATGTTTATATGAATTAAAAAAAGGAGTTGTCACTCTGTTTTTCATTTCTTACTGAATTGGTTTAACAGTTTAAGATTCCTTTAAGCCAATACACAAAGGCCATAATATGTATGTATGGACTTGGAAGCATCTTTCCATTGGATGTTTTCTAGGTACTGCTTGCAAGTTTTACCAATCTCTCAGGATAAACTCATTGGTGAAACCTCAACTTGGTGCTGCCACCAGGCCAGTATCCCTGGAACTTCCAGGTATCTTTGTACTTTAGTCATTCAACTCCGAGGAACAGTTTATAAGACCAGTTGGCCTTAGGGTGAATCACTTCCTGTGGTGAGTAAATACACCAGTGTTTTCTTTTTTTTTGTTGTTTTTCTTTTTCTCATTCTCACCATCCAAAGGAACATACCAGTGTTTTAAATAATTTCTTATACATACGTCAATTTTATTTCTCTAAATTCTGTCAAGATAAGAAAAGAGTGGTCACAAGCTCTGAGTAACAATAAGTGATCTTAATCACTCTGTGGTTGCAATGACTATCTTGACGCCAATGGTGCCTGCGTTTACATCACTGGACGAGACCTCTCTCTTGAGATCCTGACTTGTGTAACTGATTTCCTCCTCAATGTCTCCACTGGGATGTCTCAAAAAGCTCCTCAAATACAACAGCCAAAATTTATCTTCCCCACAATTTGGCTTCTTTTTCAATCTTTGCTGCCTTTGTAAACCACCCAGCTGATGATACCCAAATTCCAAGATTCATCCTCATCTGGATGCTCTGATTTTCCATCACTGTGCACTCAGATACCAGCACAGTACCTGCCTGGAGGAGGAGCTCAATGCGTCTTCACCCGATGATCTTCAGCCTCTCCTCTTTGCTGCCCTCCATTTCCATACAGAACCCATTTAACCCTGACTGTTTCATACTCTCGAATGTGTCTAGTCCTCTTCACCTTCTCTGCCCTCACTCTAGTCCTCATGAGCTCAGCATCACCTGCCTGGACACTGGAGTAGCCTTCCAACTGCATCTGCGTGCACCATCTGTCCCTATCTACTTCTCCAGCCTCTTCTTGTCATCCCAGACTTGCCTTTCTCTGCTCCCCTCTTTACCCCACAACTCTCCATTGCCTCTCTTTGACTGCTTTGCAAGTCTCAAGCTCCTTCCTGCTTTAGGGCCATAGGACAGGCTGTTCCTTTTGTCAAAACTCCCTGCCTGGTGGCTAACTCCTACTCTTACTCCTCCTTTGATCTTAGCCTAAGTGTTACTCACACGGGGAACCTGTGCCTGATCACTAAAGGCTGGGGTAGGTTTCCTAGTTCTGTGCTGCCAGAGCATCTTCCTCTTTGTTACTATTAAAGTGCAAGGAGTACATGAGTTGCCTGAAGTATGTGTCTCACAATAGATGGATACGGTCCTTGAGCACGGGAGCTTGTCTTTCAGGATGACCACTGATCTCCAGTACTGAGCCCAGTGCCCAGAAGGCATTTGATACACGGGTGTGGAATGAATGAATGGGTAGCTGGTCAGCTGGCCGGCCCTTCCAGCCCTCCCTGTTTGCTGAATAACCACAGTTCCTCATGGGGCTTATTGTGAGCTCCCTCCCACCGATGAACCCTCTCCTTGTCCCTGGTGACGCACCTGTGTCACTGTCTCCATCTGGATGCTCTCGTGAGGGAATGACAACTGCCAACTAC